CTCTGGATGGCGGACGAGGGCGACGCAACGAGCCTCGAAATTGGCACTTCGAGGACCGCAGGGCTTCTGATTTCCGCGAGGAGCCGCGCTTTTATGCCAATATAGGGCCAGGTGGCGGCAGCCAACAGGTTCGCATCGAGCGGTGGGGCGTTTCATTTGATGGCGAGGACGAGCGAAACTCGGTGGAAGATTTCCTGTTCCGGCTCGAGTTCCTGCAGCGGCAGTACCAGTGCCCTTGGCAGGAAGTGCTCCGCCATTTCCATGTGCTGCTAACCGGACGGGCACGCGAGTGGTATTGGGTCCACGTACGTCACTGTAGGGTGGAGAGATGGCCACAGCTGCGTGCTGCGCTGATGGACAGGTTCCGAGGCCACCAGACGGAGCACGACCGGATGCATCAGCTTATGTCCATGCGATGCAGCAGCTAGCCTCTCGCCTAAAAAAACCACTGTCAGAGCGACAGATGGTAAAAATAATTAAAAAGGGCTTGAGAGAGGGTATTGCAAGATTTGTTTACGCAATGGATGTGATGACTGTGGACGAGTTGAGGGAAGAGTGCTGCGAGGTGGAGCGCAATTTTGGACGACGAGGACGGGCGGCCTATGCGCACCCGATGCGTTATCCTCCGGCGGAGAAGGCCAGGGTTAGCGAGGCAGCTGGTCCCGACACTGCAGAGGATTCCCAGTGGCAGGTGGAGGCGTTGCAAGCGAAGACCCGAAATCCGTTCCGAGCGGGCTGCTGGAATTGCGGAGCCGTAGACCACGGGTTCCGTGACTGCGCGGCAACAGAACGGCGCCTGTTCTGCTACCGATGCGGAAGGCCAGACACTGTGTCTCCGAGATGTCCGGATTGCGCGGAAAACGGTCGGCTGGGCGATCTGAGAGCGGGAAGGATGCGTCCAGACAAGAGTCCCGCGATGCAGTAAATGTTCTAGAATGTAAAAAAGGTTTAGTATGTACGGGTAGGAATAAGCACAGTTTAAAATACTTACCTTATGAGGAAAGGATGCGTCGGTACCTGGAGACCAGGAACCGAATTTTCTCCGAGCACCAGTTAGCCGGCATGCGAACGGTGTCTAGGAAAGTCCAGAAGGCCAGGGATCGATTCCGTAAGAGACGAGCGAGGAGGCGAGAAGTGGTTGCCGCTGTGAAGCGCAGTGGAACGGGAGACCCTAGACCATTCGCTGAAGTCCGGATCCTGACCCAACAGCTGACTGGCTTATTGGACACGGGAGCTAGTGTCAGCCTGCTGGGCAAAGGTGGAAGAGAGCTCGTCGAGGCGTTGGATGTACCAATCCAGAAGTACCTGTCTGTGGTCCGAACGGCGTCTGGAGAGGATCGCACGATTATAGGACGCGTCGAGCTACCTGTGGAGTACCGAGGACAGATAAAGCGGATCCTGTTCTATGTATGTCCATACCTGGAGCAGGAAGCCTATTTCGGAGTGGACTTCTGGCAAGCGTTTGGCTTGGCTCCAGCGGTGATAGGCCCCAGCGACCCGGAAAGCGTCAAGGCAGACGAAATCCACGCTAGGGATATGGAGCACTACGCCGAACAGGAGGATGACGACGAGGAGAAACCGGATCCCGAATCCTGGACGTTATCTGAGGCCGACGCACGACAGCTCGCGGAGATCCAGGAGGTGTTTCTCACATTTGAGAAGGATGGTCTGGGAACGACCAATCGGGAAAGGCACACGATCGAGCTGATTGAGGGAGCCAAGGTCTTCAAGGATCGGCCGTATCCCATGTCTCCAGCCAAGCAGAAGGTAGTCGAGGACGAGGTGGACAAGATGCTGGCGCTCGGAGTCATCGAGGAGAGCATGAGCCCGTGGAGCAACCGGACGACGGTAGTGTCGAGGCCTGGGAAAGATCGGTTCTGCTTAGACGCGCACAAATTGAACGATTTGACCATTAAAGACGCTTACCCGCTGCCGAGTATCGACGGAATCCTGTCCAGAATCGACCAAACGTTCTACATTTCCAGCGTGGATTTGAAGTTCGCATTCTGGCAGATCGAGTTGGACCCGAAGAGCAAGGAACTGACGGCATTTACGGTTCCTGGTCGGCCTCTCTACCAGTTCCGGGTGATGCCCTTCGGACTTTGCAACGCGGCGCAGCGGTTGGTGAGACTTATGGACCGAGTGATCCCAGCTGAGATCCGCTCCAACGTTTTTGTCTACCTCGATGATCTGCTGATACTGGCTCCAGATATCCAGACCCACTTCAAGTACCTTCGGAGAGTCGCGGAATGCCTGAAAGCAGCGGGGTTAACGATAGGTATGAGTAAGTCAAAGTTTTGCTTCAAATCATTGACCTACCTGGGCTTTATCGTTGGCGGAGGTCGTCTACGAATGGATCCGGGACGAGTAGCAGCGATCAGGGGGATGCCAGAGCCTAGGACGATGAAGGAGGTGAGAGCGTTCCTTGGGACTGCTGGATGGTACCGCCGGTTCATAAAGAACTTTGCGACGTTGGCCGCCCCGCTCACTGAATCGCTGAAGAAAACTGGAAATTCTAAGTTTTCCTTGAGTCCAGAGGTCCAGCTAGCCGTAGAGTCATTGAAGATGGCTTTAACGACTGCACCAGTCCTGGTGCATGCAGACTTCAAGAGACGGTTTTTTATCCAGTGCGATGCGTCACACGTCGGAGTCGGGGCGGTGCTTTTCCAGCGAGACGACGACGGACAGGAGCAGCCAATTGCCTTTTTCTCGGCCAAGATGAATAAACATCAGGTAAATTACACCGTGACCGAGAAAGAGTGTCTCGCGGCGCTCATGGCCATCCGGAAGTTCCGGCCATATGTCGAAGGGATGCCATTCACCTGCATCACGGATCATGCCAGCTTGAAGTGGCTCATGTCCATGAAGGATCTGTCGGGACGGTTGGCGAGGTGGTCGCTGCAGCTTCAAGGGTTCCACTTCAACATCGAGCACCGAAAAGGAAGTGAGAACGTCGTGGCAGACACCCTTCCACGGTGTGTGGAGGAGCTCGTAGTTAATCCGACGGATTTGTTGGGGTTCGAAACCACCGAGTTCGCTGGAGAAGATTATCTCGAGTTAGTGAAGGAGGTGGAAAGTAACTTGGATAACTTACCGGACCTGAAGATCGTGGATGGTCTCATCTTCAAGAGAGTCTCTTCGGTAAATCGGGACGATGAGATGGAAGGTTCCGAATGGAAACTGTGGAACCCACAGAGTCTGACCCACAGCCTAATCGAGCGTGCGCATACGGACCCAACCGCAGCTCATGGCGGAATGGGAAAGACTCTGGAAATCCTACGGCGACAGTTCTACTGGCCAGGTATGGTGCTGCAGGTCCGAGCTTTCGTACGCAGATGTGAGGTCTGTAAGGAGTCCAAGGCGCCGAATTTCCGGATGCAAGTTGGTATTGGGGAAAGAGTCCAGACTGAGCAGCCATTTCAGAAACTGTACATCGATTTTCTTGGAAAATATCCGAGATCGAAGAAGGGCCACGCATGGATCTTCATTGTCGTCGACCATTTTTCGAAGTATACGTTTCTGAAAGCCATGAAGGAAGCCTCGGCCGCCAGCGTGGTAGATTTCCTCATCCACGAGGTATTCTACAAGTTCGGGGTCCCGGAAATCATTCACTCAGACAACGGTCGACAGTTTACGTCAAAGATCTTCGTGGAGGCAATGGAGAGTTTCGGCATTTCCCACATCAAGACTCCAGTCTACTCTCCGCAAAGCAACGCCGCAGAACGAGTTAATCGAAGCGTGCTGGCGGCAATCCGGAGTTATTTGGAGGAAGACCATCGGGAATGGGACGCATTTCTCCCGGAGATCGAGGTGGCTCTTCGCAACGCGATACACGCAGCAACTGGCGAAACGCCCTTCTTCACGGTTTTCGGTCATCACATGTTCTTGAACGGGGCCAGCTACAAGTTGGCGAGAAAGTTGAAATCCCTGTGCGACCATGAGATTGCTGGGATGGGAACAGTCGACAAGCTCATAGTGATCCAGGCCAAGGTGCAGACGAATCTCGAAAAGTCGTACGAGCGAAGTCGCCAGCAGTACGACCAGAGAGCTCGGACGTTCCTTGCGAAGCCAGGCCAGGAAGTGTATCGCCGTAACTTCGTCCTCAGCGACTTCAAAAGTGCCTTTAACGCGAAGTTTGCTCGGAAGTTCCTCAAAGCTCGGGTGGTGAAAGCAGTCGGCAACAATGCTTACGAGCTGGAGGATCTTCAAGGACGTCGGATAGGTGTGTATCACGCCAAGGACATCCGGGTATAACCTGAAACGAGGCAGCATAAATTAAAGGAGCACAACACAAAAAACAAAGGCAGTACTTACCGGCATGCGTGGGCCCCGCGTAGGGCACCGTTTGGAACTGCATGCGGATTTCGCCAGGCACCGATCTCCAATGCTCCCAATGATTTCGTCGAGTGGCCATGGTTCGGAGGCGTCTCTCTAAATCCTTGGGTGGTGTTGCATTTCGAGTTGGAATCGGCTGGAAGAATTAAGAAGGAGGTATTCGTTTTTGGTAGGGCTATCGATAAAGTAGGAGGGTGGCAACTCCTACTGGAGTGGCGCCCCCTTCTGCTGATGTCTTGGCTATCTAGCTATTTAAACTAGCCCGGTTCGCTCTGGGTATGGCTAGGATGGCCTTGATATGTCCAATGACCCAATTTCGAGAGAGGCGAAGGGAATATGGCGAGATATAGGCATGATAGGCAAATTTTTATATAGTCGCAGCCATATTGTCCCAGCAGACAGAACATAAAAATGTCGAAGTAGTGTTTGTGCCGAAATATAGAAAAAAAGTGAGTGTTAGAAAAATTTATGTTAGGTTTAATAGTTTATTTTATTTATAAATAATTATTCGTAGGGCAACCGGGGTCCCAATATAAAGGGCCCCGGGATATTTAAATTGGAGGAAATTAAATCCGGAAATTCCAATTGGAATAATTGAATTGGACTATTTAAATTGGAGGCATAAATTCAAATAAAAGCGGGACACATAATCTGGATATTTGGACCACAATAACTCGCCATCCTCGGACGCCGCCAACGCTGTCTAAAATACGCCGGTGAGTCCGTTCCTGGCTGTTAAGTCGCCTTGGAGTAACTGGCTGGCCATTTCGCGCGGCGTTGAAAGTCACCGCCATCAGGCTCGCCTTCGCCACAGTTCCTCGGGGTGTTCCAGGCCCTTATTGCTGCTGGCCTCCGGCAGAGTACGCTGCAGTCGGGGCATGTTTAGCCCGGCGCCTAGCCCAGAAGTGGCTGAAATTATTAACGTTGAATTAAATGTGCACCTTACTAAATTTATATATATATATGTACTTACCTGTTGACCTGTAAATTTATCCGGACTTAGACCCGAAAACCTTAGTTGTCCTCGTTGTTGCCTGTAAAAAAGGGTCGCGATTATTAGTTTTCGGCGGGATTGTTTACAGCGCGTAATACTTACCGTTTGGCCTGTCCCTTCTTTTCCCTAGGAGCTCCTCAGGATTAGGTGACCCGACACATACCTAGTGTGTGCCCTTTTTTGCGCCTCGTTCCACTGCGAGTTCCACCAATACATGTCTGGTGGAACATTATTTCCGCGGCGCCTGTAGTCTTTGCCAAAGGAAGGTAATCTTCCGCTTTGACCGCGTAAATTTGTAGACGGTGGCCAAGTTTGGTCGTAAAGGCTAAGGAATGATAATTTAATTACTAGGAGAGCAAGTTATGTTAACTTTAGTACTTACTGTGGATATTAAATGTACATGAAGACCGAAATGTGCGAGTGAGTTGTCGCTGTGGGGGAGATGGAGCTGTCCTAGTCGCGAGGAGTGACTTCGACCAGCTGATTATGGGTGATGCCTCCTCAGAATTATCCGGGGCATCCTTGGTTGGGTGGGCGTGCTTGGCTAGGTCACCAATAGCCACCAAAACACCATATATTTCCCGTCACTCCTAATTGTTTGCATTGTTTACATTTTGGTTTGTTTTGTTTGTTAGTGATGGGCGATAGTTTTTGTGAAGTGAGACGCGCGTATATCGATGTTTATGTTGTGGAATCTGTAGGGACATTGGGGATACTCCGCCCTGGGGATTCGGGAGCTAGCCGGCGCCGTCCCAGGACCAAATGCAGTTCCATAACAACTGATCAATTTATTATCTATGGTCCGCAGACGTCCGAATGGACTACAAATAATGGTCGTTGGATATTTTCTTTGCTCTTATATTTTCAAATTTCAACATTATTTAAAAGATTTTTATCTTTAAAAACACCTTTTCGTTTTATTTCTAAAAATTTGCCTACACTTATATGCCCCAATCGTTCATGCCACAATCGATACTCAGCCACAATTTTGAAACAGCATTCAAGTATTTTGAAATCCAAGTTAATAGATTACCAGGAAACCCAAGCAGATATTGCATTTCGATTTGGTATCGGCTGGAAGAATTAAGAAGGAGGTATTCGTTTTTGGTAGGGCTATCGATAAAGTTGGAGGGTGGCAACCCCTACTGAAGTGGAGCCTTAAATTACCAGGAAACCCAAGCAGATATTGCATTTCGATTTGGTATCGGCTGGAAGAATTAAGAAGGAGGTATTCGTTTTTGGTAGGGCTATCGATAAAGTTGGAGGGTGGCAACCCCTACTGAAGTGGAGCCCTTCTGCTGATGCCCTTGGCTATATAGCTATTTAAACTAGCCCGGTTCGCTCTGGGTATGGCTAGGATGGCCTTGATATGTCCAATGACCCAATTTCGAGAGAGGCAAAGGGAATATGGCGATATAGGAATGATAGGTAGATTTTGATATGGTCGTAGCCATATTGTCCCAGTAGATGGAGCAGAAATTATTTAAGTAGTGTTTGTGCCGAATTAAAGAAAAAAGTGAGTGAAATTAGAGTGCTATGTTTTATAAATTATTTTATTTATAAATAATTTTCCGTAGAGAAACCGGGGTCCCAACACAAAGGGCCCCGGGAGATTAAATTGGGAGATTAAATCGGGAGATTTAATTCGGATATTGGCATACATTTATATACGCACCTTCGTTCGACCCAGCGATACGATTTGGACCAGCATAACTCGCCTTCCTCGGACGCCGCCAACGCTTTTATAACATACGCCGGTGAGTCCGTTTCGGGCTGTTAAGTCGCCTTGGGGTTATCTGGCTGCCAATTCGAGCCGCGTCGAGAGGCACCGCCATTGCCTTCTCCTTAACCACCGCTCCTCGTGGTGTTCCTGGCCATTATCGCCGCTGGCCTCTGTTGGAGTACGCCTCGGCCGGGGCACATCGCGCCCGGGGCCCAGCCTAGAAGTGGATGAAAATAATGAATGTTAAATTAAATGTGCACATTACTAAATTTATATACTTACCTGTTGACCTGTAAATTTATCCCGAAAACCTCAATTTGTCCTCGTTGTTGCCTGTAAAAAAGGATCGCGATTATTAGTTTTCGGCGGGATTGTTTACAGCGCATACTACTTACCGTTTGGCCTGTCCCTTTTTTTCCCTAGGAGCTCCTCAGGATTAGGTGACCCGACACATACAAATTAATCTTGTTGAAGGGCGCGGCCTGAGGTGGTCCTCGACGGCAGCACTGTCAAGGGTGGTCTTCTTCAATGAGACGACACGTATGTGCGGTAGAAATAATATGTGATACGTGTGTGTGGCCAAGGGTGGTCCTCTTCAGCCACACTGGTGAAAAGCTGGTCTTCTCGGAGATGCCCGCTTGTAGGCGCGGGGGAAGCGGTCACTTCTGGGAGCGCCCGTTATAGTTGAGTGGCGGCCAGCAGCTTGTGGTTGCCTCCCGTAGGTGCGGGGGGATGCGTTAGCACCCACGCGTGAGGGTAGGCTCCCGTAGACGCGGGAGGAATATGTTTGCCGCTGATCGCACCTGCTGAAGCCCGCTCGGTAGTGCGGGGGGAGGAGGGGGCCTTAACTTAGTTCTCGTATGTGGAGATCGGGAATCCCTCGCTGCAGTCAGAGCCGGATGGCTATACCTTCACAATTGCTGATTAGGTTGACTTAAGTTGTGAGGTAACTGCCCCCTTCGCCTGCTGGCCTAGAGACTCAGTCAGTGCAAAATAATAAGAGATATTTAACGGCGGTTGCCGGAGTTTTGCAATGCTATAGAACTGGTGTTCTTTATTCGTATAGAGCTTGAAGCGAACTGAACTTAAAGTTGACAAAAAACGAAATTCATAGCGGCCACGCAAATATGCTGTGTTTGCCGGCTATGCACGAGCACGCCGCTGGGCTTCGGACATTCGGTCATCGCCTTCGTCCGATTAGCTTCTTAGTTAACTACTCCCCCCTCAAGATTGAGGCCGCCCTCGCCCGACCCTATTTCAGCGATCACCCTTTTTAGTTGGACCGCAGGTCTTCTGGCACCGGTGAGTCGCATGTAGGTTAGGCCGACACAAATCAATGCGCAACATATTACTCCTGTAATTAGCGCTAACATGTGTGTCTGATTGGTGTTGATTTTATTTCCGAACTTCTGAATGTATTCCAGGTTACGTTTACTCAAGCGGTGAAGGTAGGGGAGGCTCAGAGTATTTTGACTGATGGTGATGTTCAGTGAGGGTGAGCTTGCCACCCCCGGAGTCCTCTTCTGGGCGGAGTTTTGGTTCAAAACCAGGGTTTCGTTTACTGTGACGCGCTCACTAAAGGTGACGAGATGTGTCCCGTGTATCCAGACGCTTGTTCCGTTGTCTACTCGTACCTGCGCTGATTGCTCATTGATGATCATAATTCCCTCATCGACATAAGTGATCGGATGTAAATCGCTTGGTTGAGTCTCGCAGTGCGCAACTCCACCTGCATGGAGTTCTCGGGCGCATGTGGTCTTCGCTGATAGTCGGCAGAAAGTGACTCCTGGTGTTGTGGAGCAATTCTGGATCGCACACATTTCCCCATTGCATTCTGCTATTATATTATCCACTAACCTTAGCATCACATTATTATGTGCTACCGGGAACATTGTAATCTTCTTACATGCTAATTTAATTTTTGGGAATTTAATAATGAAGTGCAATATGTTAACAGACTGGAGAATTTTCACGGACGCTACCGACAAAATATCTTTCGGTGGGCTCCTCCATCCAAATACTTTCTAGGTCTGCGTGATCTAATATGTTTGGGCTGACTATGTTTAGTTTAGCAAGCGAGAGAGCCATCATTAAATTTTGAAGTTCCATTGTTAACATTCGGTTTCTGGAGAGCAATGTTTTTTATAGATGGCCAGTGTCCACTTGTGAACTTTTTGCCACGTTCAGGATTTGATTTACGGTTGACGTTAATTCATTAATTTGACTTTGTATTCTGGTATTTATTTCTATTTGTCTATTGTTTGAATTGATTAATTGTGTTTCTGTGAATTTAATTCTTTCTAAATCCCCGGCGTCCGGAGTTCCTGCTACGACTTTTAACATTGATCCTAAAAAGTCTAAACTCCTGGCTACCCTTTGGTGCACTCCTAACGAGTCGAGCAGGTCGCGAAGGTGAGCTGTGTCCACATTCAAAAGTTTTCTCATGTGTGACTGGGGGAACATATCGCTCATATTTTCTGTTTCTTCTACTACGCGCCTGTACTCTGAAAGGTTCGCTGAATGTCTAACGAATGCGAATTCCTCCCACACTAGTATTCGACCGTCAATAATGGGGATGTACTTAGCTTGTTAATAGTCGGTGATGTGCGCCGACGCCATGGTTAAGGAGAAGAGGATTGGGATGATTTTGGACCTGTGGAATGAATTCGGAGCTATATTTTTGTTCATGACAAGGTTGCCCACCACCAACGGAAATTTACTTAGCCTTAAAAAAATATTTTATCAGCTATGCTTAAAGCTAGTAAAATGTGTGCCAAGTGGCAAAAAGGAAAAAGAGAAGGTAAAAACTTTTTTTTTTTTTTTTGATGTTGTCTTTGCGGACCACCCTCCCCTTGATGAGGACTGTGGTCCCCATGTCCGGTTCCACAATCTTCTCTTCACACAATGGTGAGAGTTTGTTGCCTAGCCGCCTGTTGGATTTTACCAGGACTTTTTCACCAACTTTGAACACCCTGTTCTGTCGGCAGCATTTTCCCTGTTTCTGGGCTTGTCTTGGACGATTTTTATCTTATCCTGAATCTCATCTTTTATTGTATCTGGCTGTGGCCAGCAAGATTAGCTCGACGGTGTCACTGATGCTTTATCAATTTTAAGGCATCTAGCAAGCTCTACTAGAGTGCTGTGGAAACGTTCCACTTGTCCGTTTGAGACACTGTGGAGGGGCGGTGCATTCGAGATGCTCACGCCGAAATGGTTCTCCAGCATGGACAAAATGGTGTGCGAATTCAACGATGGTTCGTTTTCACAATATATGACCTTGGCTTTCGGGAAAACATTCAAGTGTTGTAGGAGTGCTGGTTTAATGTCCTCTATGGATCTAGAGGGGATTGGCTGGACCATGGCAAATTTTGAGAATTAGTCAATGGATGGAAAAAAATATTTTTTATCCGTTGAGAAGATGTCTATGTGTAATATTTCCCCAACCTGGGACGGGATTGGTGTTTCCCCAAGCTCCTGCTTTTTGGGATGCCTGTCATATTTAGCTTTAGCACATGTTTTGCAGTTAGCGACGATTTCGCTAGCTAGCTTGGCAATTTTCGGGAAGTAGTACTCGGAGAGTACCTGCTTTACATTTTCTTGGGCCGACCTGTGAGCCCTGTTGTGTTCAGTGGACAGAATTTCTCGTCTCTCCGGGACTGCAAAAATGTCCGTTACACGATTTTTACAATACCAAAATTTTGTGGCTGGAAATTGGCGTACCAGTTGGTCCTGTATCATTGCGAGTGTGTGCAAATTGCATTGGATGGCGTTTACGCCCTTAGGAACAATTAAATCTGCGAGCTCATTGAGTAATGACTCTTTGCAGGAGAAGCTGATCGCATGCCGTCTCTTGTTTCCAAAGAAGACAAAGCTGCGTTTTTGCGGAAAGCGAAGGAGGAAGGAGTTATCTGGTTTTGGAAGCAGTTCAAGGGCTTATCCGTTGCCTCAATTGTGTGGATCAGTGACAGCTCATTGTGAATCGTGGCCGCACTTGAAAAAGCTTCTTCCTCTCCCAGAACGTTAAGTTGCTGTCTTGAGAGGGCATCCGCAACGAGGTTTTCCTTGCC